ACATCCTGGTTTCTGATGTACGGACCCAGGTTTGACACTTCGTCCCTGGCCCTCTGTTCCCTCCACCCACACGCACAGTCTCTGCCACAGACTGGTGTGGTGAACCAAGGGGAGTGGGGAAGCCGATGATCTCTGTCCCGACCCAGGTGGGTCCTACTAACTGCCACCTGTGTTTCCTGTCTATGGCTCCCACCTGCCCACAGCGCTGCTCCCCACAGGACCCTGGAGGGCCTAGGCCTGGTGGAATTATTTATGCTAGCACTAACGTCACTACCACTAGCCGTGGGGCCCAGGTTTAATCACTAGCTCATCACGTGACTGGTTGAACGCCAGTTCCTACCAGGCCCTTCATCCATGGCCGTAGGACTTTGTCTATCAGTTTTGTGTGGCTCCCTGCGGCAGCTCATCTGGTGTTCATAGAGTATCATGGCTACTTCAGAGGCAAGGTGGCACTGACCTGTGCCTCATAGGCAGATCTGATATGGACATCCCAGACGATTCACCCGGGCGTGGGTGGCTACAGCACAGGCATGACTCTGGGCCTCCACCTGAGGCCACTTGGAACCCAGAAAGCATAGGAGAACTCCCTCCCCACAGCTTTTGGCTTCTTCATATGCTTCAGGGACGGGGGCTGACCAATGACCTGTCCTTGTGGCTCCTGTCTGCCAACCAGCAGGCCTCTGGCCCCTCACTTCACTATCAAGACAGGACACAAACCACGTGAGCACCACAGTCCCTGCCCAGGCATCTGGACATTCAGGGTGGGGCACCATTTTTTTTTGGGGGGGGGTCTCTTGAGGGGCGAGAATCTGGAAGGAAAGTTGTAAGTGGACTCTATCCATTGAGCCTCTGGCCCAGGCTGCAGGGTGGGGAGGGTGGCCCTGGGGTTGAGAGGCAGCCCCTGCAAAGGTTCAGGGGAGCCACAGGCCCTGGAGGCAGAAGTCTACGCAACAGGTGGTATGGGGTGGTGAGGCAGAGCCAAGGCCCCAGTGGGGAGCAAGGTCTTGATCTCTAGGGTGGGTGAGTGGTCTGATGTGCACTGTGAAATGTGGGCCGTGGGAGCTGGATGGGAGGGTGATGCGGATGCAGAGAGCTAAGGGCAAGGATACTGGCCGCAGCCTTGTGCAAGGGCTTCATGCTAAAGGAAGAGTCTTGGGGCAGCACAGTAACCATGTGACTTTAGTCAGTTTCTACCCTTGTTCTAGGGCCCAGAAGACTGAAGGTGACTCTCCCAACCACTAGAGGTGTGGTTGGTTACAAAAGGTGTCAAAGCCAGAAAGTAGACGCAGGCAGAGTGGCTGGCCTTGAGGTCCACCCACAAGCCTGGCTGACCCTGACTCTAGGCCATCGGGACACCCTGCTCACACCCCGCAGGCTGGCATCAGGACTGAAGACAGGCAGCAGGAAGCACCAGAAGTTGCTGAGTGTCCTGGCCATGGGGCATTGGTGAGGCCCTCCAGTATCTTCCTGCCAGTCCCCGCTGTCCCTTGCTCACCATGCCCTCGCCCCGCAGGGCCCCGCTGACGAGAAAACAGATCCATTCTCGGCGGTGGGGTCTCATCCATCTCACCAAGGTCTGTTTCTCTTCACATGCCCTTCTTCCTCCCCTCCCAGCCTCGCCAAATTCGGTGTTTAAAAATAACCCAGAAATCTTAGAGCAGCAGTCCCCAGCTGACCCGTGGAGAGGGTGGGCCGTGGTGGTGCGTGCCGACCATGATCCTGGACCCCGTCAAACCTCAGCCGGGGACGTTCCACATCACTCTGTGACTACTCAGGGGTTTTATTGTTGGCGGGAGAGCTACCATCTTAGGCAGCTGACTGGCTTTCTAAGTGCTGGGACACACAAGGATAAATCTCGGATGAGCTGGCGCCATGCGCTCCCTGGGAGGCCTCACGGGCCTCCATGCTGTTTTGGCACTTAGAGGTGAATGCTCTTTGCCTCCCGTCTCGGGGGCTGAGTGGCTGTGTGAGATGGGGCAGGTCACTCCGCCTCTCTGAGTTTTCATTTCCTCCTGGCTGAACTGGTCTGCATGGATTAGGTTAGTATGAACATTAGCTGAGATGATACTGTGATGTGCAGAGCGGAGCATGCTCAGTGAAGGACCCAGCCAGCATCAAGCAGCCACCTCTAGGGCTGTCACAGCCCTCAGAGGCAGGACAGAGGGGAGATAAGCCCTCTCTCAGTCCCTGCCCTTCTCCAGTGGAGTGAAATCCAGCAGGTGTCACTTTCTGCATGTCCCAGGTAGGAGTAGCTGACGGCGTGATGCTCCCTCCCTGACAGGGCGTTCAGTCCTGGTTTACTACTCTGAGGCCAGACCCAGGTGGGGGCTGACTGCTAGGTTGGACCATGGAGCTGAAGACCATTGAGACTTCAGGCTGGCTCACAGTCAGACTCAGCCACGTGGTCACTTACCATGGGCAGGACCTGCTGGGACCACAGGCTGAAGCATACAGAGCTGGCCCTGAGGACAGCAGCATGCCACTATCCCAGAGAGGCCTGAGGATCTGAGGCTGGGATCCTGTAGGGCCAGGATTCCCACAGGACCTGGGAACCCTAAGCTAAGCCCCCTGATTGGGCCCTGCAGTCAGGCCCTAGCCCAGGACCCTTCTGACCTGACAGAGGAACCCAGGGATGAGCCCTCAAAAGTCCAACTGTGGGCACCAGGAACAGCCCACCTCGTGGACTTCCTCCTTCATGTGCTCAGAGCCAAACCCAGGGCCTGGTCAGTCCTCCAAGTGCTGGAATACAGGAGCACGCATCTCAGAGGAGGCCAATGGCATGCATTTCCCAGAAGGCCTCACAGGCCCTGGGTGCTGTGGGAGGGAGAGTGAGCTCAGTCCATTTCGGTGGAGGAGAGCCTACCAGGGGAATAAGGGAGTTAACGCATTGGTTTCAGGAGAGCTTGAGATTCCACGGGTCTGGGTTGAAGGGTATGTTGAATAAGGGCAGACTTCCTAGACGGGGGCGGTAGGTCTGTGACTCCAAGATGGCGGGGCTCGGACTCACCCCAGCGTGAATGACAGCCTCGGCCCCAGCCAATATCCCGGGCCTTGGCTGGGAGTGGAAGCCGAGAGGCGGGTTGAGGTGGATGCCCAGCAGCTCTTAGATCAACTCCTCCCCCAGCCCCTCCCTGATACAGAGACAGAAGTGGGGCAGCCCCGCCCCCACAGGCCTGAAAGTGGCAGAGGGGGGCGGGATGGGCACCTGAACACCCAGCCAGCCTCCCCAGGCCGCTCCTTCTCTGAGTCTACAGTGCCCCCTGGGTGGCTTGGGTATCTCAGAGATGCTTTCCCCTCACAGTGCGTTTTTTCTCGGAGCTGACCCTGTGGGTTTCCATACAGAAATCTTTCCTAAGTGCTCTCAGAGGCCTTAATCTCTGCTCTTCTTCCTCCCAGGAGGGCCGGGGCAGGAGGCCAAGCTCAGAGCAATTAAGCAGCTTACAGTTTAAGAGGGAATAGAAGGGGGTACACAGCCCCCCCCCAGACTTATAGGAGCTATGCCGCCACCAGGACTCACGGTGCTGAGCTTTGGTGACACTTGTCTGACCGCCAAGCTTGTCCCCTTCGCCCAGGGTCAGCACTTGTCCCTAGAGGTACATATATGTACCCCAAGACCCAGGCTACTGGGAGAAGGGCTCTTCCCTTATATGCCTCACCTTGAGCCAGATGCCAACCTCTGGATCACCCCAGGGGCCCTCAGCCAACCCTGGCTGATCCCTACGGAGGCAGAGTACAGTGTTCCCTGGGTCCCGCCTGAGTTGGATTCCCTCTGCCCTCTGTGGCCAGGTGGAGAGTGCCTGCCTGAGGGCAGGGTGGCACCAAGTTGGCTGCAGAAGGTTGAGTAAGGGTTGGGGACAGTATGGGTTGAGAGAGGGGCCCCCTGGGCGTGGCCCTTCCCGTGCTGAACTGCGTTTTTGACGGTGCGCTTGGGCATTGTCCCTGACTGTCCTTGGGATGCTGATCCTTGCTGTGGAGACACTAGAACCACGTGAAGGGGGCAGGAGTCTACCCTGATGATGGCAGGGATGGGGGTGTACGGCCAAGGTCTGCTACCTAGGCACCATGTCGACCGGTGGGCGCCAAGTTCTAGGTGCCTGTTTCTGCACTTGCCCTGAGTGAGAGTGAGCTGGATCTGTCTTATTTCACCAAGCACAAAGGCCAGCAAATTCTTCCATATTATGGAGTGTTTCAGAGGCTTCTTCCTTCCTTTTTTTTCAATAGTGGGACTTGAACCCAGGGCCTTGCACGTACTAGGCAAGCACTCTACCACTGAGCTGTACTCCCCCAGCTCATTGCCTTCCTTTTTTAAGGCTGAGTAGTATTCTACCGTGTACATACATACATGTGTGTTGTTAATTCCCTCATATCTGTGGAGACCTTAGGTTATCTGGATTGCTGTAAATAAAGGCTGTGGGTATAGCGGGGGGCTGTGAGTACACAGTGGAGCCTGTGCTGTGCTCCAAGTCTCCCGGCGTCGTCTCCGGCTTACCTGTGAGTGCTGTGGCTTCCGCAGTGGGACACATACCATCAGAGAAGGCTTCCTTCACCACCGTTTGCTTTCTCTTTAAACGGCTGCCATGTCCCTGGTGCCTAGAAGGGGGGCCTGGTCAGTGTCTACTCGCAGAAAGGTTAATGGAAGTCATCCTCAGAGACCCAGCCGGGAGGCCGGGGCTCAAGCCCTGAGGTGGCGGAGGTAGTGGACTTGTCACCCCCCCTCTCCGCCTGGACACTTTGGTTGGTGACTTCACCACCTGAGCCACCGGCATCCTTTGATTAAGTCTCATTTTGCCGTGAAAAGCAAAGGAGGTGACGGGGCTGCCGGGGGAAGGTCATTCATTCCAGAGAGGAAATTGGATGGAGGTGTTTCCATCCTCCATCCGCCTGCCCGCCCGCCCGTCCCTGGCTCCCCCGAAAGCTGCTGCCTGTCTGCTGTCCCTCCTGTGCGGGTAACAAAGCAAGTGTGGGGAGACAGTTGCCGCGACTCTCTGTGTCTCCCACAGGCAGCGCCGGACGGGTCAATGCCAGCCGGATGATGACCAGTTGTGGCCAGCGGTCCCGGAACGTGCTCGCGGTGTTCTCCCTGCTGTTTCCTGCAGGTAAAACCCCCGTGGGGCTCCGTGGCTAGCGGGGAGTGGGGGGTTCCTTCCAGAGGCGGGGCTGCAGCTGGGGTTCTGCATGCCGACAACGACAGGGCAAGGGTGCCTTAGTCTCCTGATGCTGTTCTCCATCAGGGGATGAGCTGTTGGATGCTGGGGGCCATGGGGCTGCCCAGGAGCCTGCGCTCACATTTGTTCCTCTAGTTCTGCAAGACAGAAAGTAGGCAGTGCCAGTCTACCACTTTGATAGGTGAGAAACTGAGGCTAGAGAACATAGCTAGCAGAGAGGCCAGGATTCAGACCCCCGGGAACTGGAGCCACACCCTCCCGATCCTAGTCGGTCCCTGGACTGAAGCTGCAGGCAAGCTTGGCCTCAGTAAGCAGACCCTCCGCGCCTCCAAACTAGACCCGAGCCAAGAACAGAGGCAGCCCAGCTGGCCAGCCAGGACCTAGTCCGAGTCTGGCCCTGCACAAAGGCTCTCGTGGCCCTGTCCGTCTGTCTGTGCCTCACCCTCTCTCCTCCTCTGTTGTCTCTGTGCCATTCTGTTTCTTTTTATGTTTTCCACCTCTCTATGTGTCTCTCGGTTTCCTTCCTATGGCTCATGTCTCTTTCTCAATTGTGTGTCTCTGTCTCTTTCTGTCTGTTGTGTGTGGCTCTCTCTCTCTCTCTGAAACTCCCCACACGGTGGCCAAGCCGTTGATCAGCCGTTGAGGGAAGGTGGCTTCCTTCCCTCACCCTTTGCTTGGGGTGTAGCTGAGAGGGAGATTGTGAAGGGGTGGGGTGGGGACAGGACTCCCAGGAGAGAAGAGTAGAGGCTAAGGTGAGGCCAGAGTCTGGGGCCACCCCCACTCCAAGCTCTTCCCCATGTGATGGGGGAAGGCTGGTCCTCACCTCCCCAGCTTTCCCCATGTGATGGGGGGGGAGTGGCTGGTCCTCATCACCCTGGGTGTGAAGAACCAGTCCCTTCTTGTCACCACTGAGGTCAGGGACTCAGAGAGGCAAGTGGGTGTCGGGGGGGGGGTGTCACACAACTGGAGAAGATCTGACTCCAGAGTTGGGGTTCACCATGCTTCACACAATTGCTGGGATGCTGGAACCCACGAGAGCTGGAGGCAGTGAGCCTGCACCTGCCAGTGTGCAAAGGGCTCCTTGGGGCCCCCACCACAGGGGTGCTGATCCTTCTCCAACGAGGAGAGGAGGCCAGGGGGACTAAGAGCTTGGGGTACCACCCTCTACCCGGGCATCCACCCAGCAATCCTGGCCCCAGCTCAGGGCTCCTCTGTCCCTGGGGGAAGCAGCAGGGTCTTCTGGTCACTGGCAAATGACTAAGGCCGGTGGCCATAGCATCCAGGGATGGCTGTGGGACAGTGAGATGGGCCCTGGGCAGGACCTGCGCATCTCACTTCCGTGTCCACAATTGCCTCTGCAAAGGCCTGACGGCCTTCTGCTCTATGCTGTGTCTCATGGCCGAGAGGCCAGTCCCAGAACCAGGCTTATTCTTTCAGGTGGCACTCTAGGTGTGTCCAGCATCCCCGGGTGCCCACACTGAGCACACAGAGCCACAACAGGGCTTCAAGTCACGCAGGAGTCACGGGACTTGACTGCGCTCCTCTGCCCTCTCACCGTTAATGCCACCGTGTGCAGTTGCTCAGGGGCAGTGGTTCCCAGCCCAAGCACACGGACATCCCCGTGGCAGGGGCTTGTCAGAATAGATTGACACACACACACACACCCCGCCCCGCCCCGCCCCAACCCAGAGCTCTGAGCTGCGGAGGGGCCAAAGAGCCTCCATTCTGGTTAACATGCTTGGTGAGCCAAGGCTCTGAGCCTCACTTTTCTCTTCTGTATGGTGGGAGTAGATGAGATGTCTCCTTGGGGCATCACACCAAGTGGCCTCTGTGTCCCTGGACAGGCTCTTCTCAAGAACAAGAGTGGGCTGGAGACTGGAGAGCCACTACCCCCACCCACCCACCCACCCACCCAGCTTGTGTCCACAAGGAGGAACTATCCTTCAGGGAAGGGCCTTTGGAGCCAGCCTAGGTGCCAGCTCTCAGGGTGCCCGCCCCCCTGCCAGCTGGTCCGCTGGGGTCCCCTGCGGTGGCGCTGTGTGGGCTGCAATCTAATAACCTCTCAGCCGACAACGCTTCTTGTGGGAGCTCTAAGAAGCCAGGGCCTTTGTGCCTGGGAGATGCCTGCGCCAAGAAGCCCCTTTTTAGCGATACAAATTAGATACAGTGAGCCCTTTATGAAGATACTAATTAAGCTAGAGGCAGCCGCTCCAGCTTTTCCATTGTTGTTTTGTTCGTATTCAGTCCTGTGGATTACCATCAGTTAGCTCATCCTGGTTTGCAGCAGCAGGGGCTGAACAAGGGGCCTCCTTCTGTGGGCCAGGGGTGGGGAGGATCTGGGGCCAGCGCAGGCCTGTATGTGTGGGACCCAGATAGGACCTAGCTCGAGTCTGGGGCAACAGCTTCTAGAATGTGAGGCACAAAGGAGCTGGCACTTTCAATGCAGGTGGGCCCTAGGTCCTACACCCTTATGCAGCCTGACACCCAGGAAAACCTGGATCACACCCAGCCTATTCTGGAGCAAGATGAGAGAGAGAGAGAGAGAGAGAGAGACAGAGACAGAGACAGAGACAGAGACAGAGGCAGAGAGACAGAGAGAGACACACACACAGAGAGACAGAGAGAGACAGACAGACAGAGACAGACAGACAGAGACAGAGAGACAGAAAGAAAGAAAGAAAGAAAGAAAGAAAGAAAGAAAGAAAGAAAGAAAGAAAGAAAGAAAGAAAGAAAGAGGTTGCAGGAGCTGGGTTTGAATCCTGTTACCATCACCACTAATCAGCTCCACCAAGTCCTTTAGGCCCCTGAGCCTCAGTTTCTCTACCTGCAAAGTGACATCACAAGCCTGCCTGCTAAGGTGGCCATGTGGATTAAGTGGGGAGGCCCTTGGGTCACAGAACAGGTGCCTAGTCACGAAGGGCTGAGGTGCAGGAGGGGACCCACCTAGGCGTGAGCTTCAAGGAGCCCTAAGGAACATTCAGCCTGGGATAGCAGAGCCGTTGTTGTGACAGAGCTGGGGACCAGGGGTCCAGGAGGCTTTGGGGTAGGGGTGAGGCTCTTCCTGGACGCTTAAGACTTCCCAGGGAAGGGAGGAGCTAGCAGGACCCTGGAACAGGCTGCCAGTCCCTTCTGCTCGGCACCCGTGAGCTGCCAAGGGAACCCTGGTGAACCTGGTGTCTCTGTATTCCAGTCCTGTCCGCACATTTCCGGGTCTGTGAGCCTTACACCGACCACAAAGGCCGCTACCACTTCGGTTTCCACTGCCCCCGGCTCTCAGACAACAAAACCTTCGTCCTCTGCTGTCACCATAACAACACCGTCTTCAAATACTGCTGCAACGAGACAGAGTTCCAGGCGGTCATGCAGGCAAACCTCACAGCCGGCCCCGAGGGCTACATGCACAAGTGAGTACCCCCACCCCCCCACCCCGCTCAACTGCTCTGGCCACTGCCCACCCCTGCCCTGGAAACGCTCAAGACCGCGTGTGCAAGGAGGAAGGCCTAGAAAGAGGTTGCCTGCAAGGACTTCAGGCAACCTAGGTTCCTGACTTGACTCTGAGCTTTATTGTTCCCACCTGAGAAATGGGTATAGATAGGATGTCCACCTGGCAGTTCTGCTGCAGAAGTTGAGTGGGGTCAAGCCTGTGAAACTTGGAATTTACTGGAACTCTTTGTTGGCTTTGCTTACCCAGTTTTCATCCAATAATATTGGTGATAGCATTGATGTAGTGATTGATGCTTTGGAGGTAACCCATTGAGATCAGGTCTCCAAGAGGAATTTTCCGGCAGCGCAGCAGGGGGCTGTACTGAGAGGAGCGTGGTGGGTCATAGTGGCACACACTTCTCTTTGCACACAGGTGGCTGTCCTTCACTGTGTTCGGGGTCATTGAGTTTCTTGTGTGCTGGCTGTTGGCTGTTGATGTAGTTTTGCCGTTTTCTTTTTCTGTTATATTCTTGGTGTTTTTCTTATTTTTACCAGGAACTCTTTATATGTGAAGGAAATATGATACAAATATTTTCCAGGGTGCCTTTCACTTTGAGATTTTTATTTATTTATTTATTTATTTATTTATTTATTTATTTATTTATTTATTTATTTATTTATTTATTGTGCATGCTCAACAGTCTTACAATCACCAGACACTCGTTTTTTTTAAATGGCGTCTAATGTTTGCCCTTATTGAGAAAGGCCTTTCCTTCTAAGATCATTGAAAAATTTTCCTATGTCTTCTATTTTGTGTTTCAAATTTTGCCTCCCAGTCTCTGGTCTGTTGTTTAGGTCAGGTTTATTTTGGTGTAAGTTTTTCAACAAGAACTGGTTTTATTATCTCTTCCATATAGAGAGTGTCTTACTTTCTTTTCGAGTCGCTATGATAAAACACCCTGACTAAAGCCACCTAAGGGAGAAGGGGCTTATTTTGGCTCACGGTGTCTGGGGATACAGTCCATCATAGCAGGGAAAGCGTGGCAGGAAAAAGCAAGCTGGCTGGTCACACACTGTACCTGAGAAGCAGGGGGTGAAGAGGAAGCGGATCCAGGTTATAAAGACTCAAGGCTGGATCCTGGTGACTCACTTCCTTTAGCAAGGCTCCCCGTCCTGGAGATTCCACAGACTTCCCCAACAGCGCCACCAGCACTGGTGCCTGTGAGGGACATCACACTTCCAAAGACCAACAAAGCCCCGAGTCCCTTCTGAACTGTTTCTGGTGTGACATTCAGACTCACCCTCTGCTGTGATGTGCCACACATAAGCCCCAGGGCAGAGTGTCATAGCTCTGTGGCCTTCACTGGCCCGTGTCATATGCTAGTGTCATGCTGGTGAGCTGCTGACTTCTAGTCTGTCTTCGTGTTTCTGTGGATTAATCAACCCTGGGTGTACATCCCAGGCTCTTTAGCACCTGAGTTTTAGAACGCGTTTTTGTGATTCTCCTGCTCCCCCTCCCCCATCAAAACAAACCCCAAAATCCTGTTAGTATCCTCTACTGCAGTTACTGAGTTACACCTTCATGTACGAAACAACATTTGTAATATTGTTTCTTTTTTCTCTCTCTTTTTTTTTTTTTTTTTTTTTGGGAGGGGTGTTTGCTGTTTCTACTCAAGAACACAGCTGGCAGTGGTAGTGTCACACGCCTTGGGAGGCAGAGACAGGAGGATCTCTAAGTTCGAGGCCAGCCTGGTCTGCAGAGTGAGTTTCAAGACAACCAGGGTTACACGGAGAAACTTTGTCTTGAAGCGGGGGGGGGGGGCACAGCAGCCTTTTTGCCCACTGATTCAAATTTTCTAGGCAACTGTTCCCCACCGCTGAGCTAAGCCCAGTTCTTCAAATTTTCTTTTGTAATGCTTTTGATTTTCCTCCGTAGGGAAGTCGTGCATGTCATCTGCATTTGTTTCTAGCTTGTTCTTTTCACTTTGCTGTCAGAAATAGCCTCTTTCCTTGTCCTCTTCTGACTATCGATGATAAAAATTAGAGATCTTTATTTATGAATAGCCTCCTCAGTTTTTGTAACACTTCCTCAGTCGATTCTCTCCTGGATCCAATTATGCCACTTGGAAGCAATAACTTTGTATCTCTTCTTCCTTGCTTTTTGAGGCGGGAGCTCACAGGAAGGCCCTGGAACTTGGCCGCAGCCTCCTAGTCCTGGGATCACAGAATGGGCCTTGATGACAGGCTTACTTCCGAGTTTTCTGGCCCCAGCTCGCTCCTTCCTTCCTTCCTTCCTTCCTTCCTTCCTTCCTTCCTTCCTTCCTTCCTTCCTTCCCTTCTTCTTCTTCTTCTTCTTCTTCTTCTTCTTCTTCTTCTTCTTCTTCTTCTTCTTCTTCTTCTTCTCTCTCTCTCTCTCTCTCTCTCTCTCTCTCTCTCTCTCTCTCTCTCTCTCTCTCTCTCTCTCTCTCTCTCTCTCTTCCAGCTGCATAGACTAGTATCTCTAAAATGGGTCAATGGTCAGGCATTCTTATCTTCCTTGGCATTATGGGAAGTTTCAAATACTTTCCCAGTACACACGAGGCTGACTCCTGGTGTCGAAGCATTATTTCCCTGGTGGGAATGATGGACTGGATAGGGGTGTAATGGAGGAGTGACTGTAGATAAGGTCCAGGGTAGTGCTGGAGGCAGCAGGGCTGCCGAGCGGAGCCTCCACCTCTGTCTGACGCTGGAGCTTGAGGTTTCGCTACCAGACTCTGCTCACGCTGGGGAAGGTGCCTCTTTCCTTTGGGTGGGCAGGGGATGCAGACTCTCTGACTATCATCCAAACCCCCTCCTCCTCCCACCGCGGCCAGCTCCTGAGAGCTCCTTTCTCAGATGCGCGGTGCTTCCCCCTGAATATCCTGCCATCTGCTTGGGCCTCGGAATAATCCTGTGTGTGAAGTAGCTCAGCAAGGCCCCCGTCCATTACAGCCAGGCTGGAACCAAGCCTAGAATTTGGCCTAAGCCTTCTGTGAGACCACAGGCTAACTCCATGAGGAAGAAGTATGGGACCAGGACTGAGGTTGGGAGGTCAGGGTGCTACAGGAGCTCGTGAAAGCCCCATAACCAGACTTCCTCGAGGTCTGGCACCTGGGGTCTGGGAGACTCCCTTCGGAGCCCACAGGTTTCTATAATCTGCTCACACAGGGTTTCCCACAAAGCAGGCACAGGGGCCTGGCTGTAGCTGCTGGCTGCCAATACAAGGGCCTTCCCCCAGAGGGAGTGGGAACAGTGACGCTCCAGGGCTTAGCTTGAGTTTTTATTCCTCGGCCTTCAGAAGCACAGCTGGGGCACAGCATCTGTGAGTCGCTGTGCTGTCCATCCTGAGGTGCAGGCCACAGGGACTCCCAACCACAGCTAGTTTGACACATGAGGACAGTGTTGACCACAGTGATCCTAGGACTCTGGAAGGCCCCTTAGGAACTCTGGAGAGTCTTCTGATAGAGGCAGACCTCTGGGGAGAGGCCCAGGCAGGGATCACCCATAAGACACCCTGCTACTGGGGTCTGGTTATTCTTTGGTGTGAGATCACCTAGGCCTTGTAGGACTATCCCCAGCCTCTACCTGTCAGATGTCAGGAGCAGCCCCCACACACCTTGCAGACAGATGTGGAGGGTGCTGTCCTAGGACATCCTCCTTTGTAAGTAGCCATCTTTCTGATACCCTTTGTTACCACAGATGCGAGCATGGCCCTCTAAGGCTGTGAAGTGAGCCCATACAGGCAGCTTGGGCCCTGCTCCTCACCATCAAGTCAGCACCTCTTCTAAGGGAGATGAGGCAGCCAGACCTGGAAGCAAAGTGAGGTCAATGCAGGCGGAGGAGGGAAGGGTAACTGTGGGCAGACTCCTCGCAGAGGAGGAGGGGATGGGGATGAGACCTTATTAGGCCTGGCTTCCCAGATGGGACAGGGCTTGTCAGCCAAGGTCAGAGCTTCCCAGCCAGGAATGGGGTTTTCCAGGCAGGGGCAGGGCTTCCCAATTGGTTGGGACCAGAATCTGTTCCCGAGGGCTCTAAGCCCAGGGCCTGTTCTTGGGATGAAGCCCCTGGGAACCTAATCAGTCCACAAAAGCCAGAATGTGGCCCGCGAGGGAAGCAAACCCCACCGAGGGGTCATGGGAGCCCTCTGTCCTGCTTCCAGGCTCAGGGACTTGATGGGGAGGGCCCAGGTCCAAGGAGCTGCTAAAGGGCTTGGCTTCTAGGTAGAGTCAGTAGCAGAGGGAGTGACAGGAGCAGACGTCAGGATGACAGCCTGAGAGAGAGCCAAAGAAGGTCACTGTAGGGTGGGCTCACAGTGGGAAGCCACCTGTTGGCTGTACTACCATTTAGGGTCTTTGCCACCCCAGGGTCACAGCCACCCTGGGCCTGGAGTCTCCCCTGGAGTCAACCTCATAGGCCCTTGGGTAGAAGAAGGGAGGGACCTGAAATATACTGAGGAGGTCTCTGGTCCTAGGCCCCACCAGGTGATGACAAGAGTTGAGGCTGGGGACATGGGAGCCCTTATTCTGTCACTCCATACGCATGTCCAAGAAGCCAGGCCTTGTCTGAAGCCAGGGAAGTTGTCACATCTTTACTGAGGCCGGAGACCCAGAATCTCAGGCAGATCCCAACCTGTGGGGCGCAGCCTGATGGCTCAAGCCAGCTGTGGTGACCCCAGAGGGCCCTGTTCAGAGTGTAGGCTCCACCTTCTCTACCGTGAGTCAGCAGGGGGTGGGCTGGTGACCTAGCCGAAGGAAGTTCTCTGCTGCCTTGTTTATTTGTGTTTCTTGGATGAACGGAGGAGCGGTGTGTGGCGGTTCCGGCTGCCTGGCAGAAAGGCAAGCCATGGAATGAAAGGAGACTGCTTTGCCAATTCCTCCACCGCAGCAAGATGCCTGCTTCCAGCCATGCAGGCAGCCAAGGGCCAAATGAGGGCCAGCCAGGCACCCCTGCACCCCTCCCTGGC